AGGGCGTACGTTGAACACATCAAGAAGAGCTGCGGCCCAAGCTCCATTGCAGCCAGTCCAATCGATTCATTGCGATAGTCCTTGGCTTGAGGCCAGAAAGGGAAGACAAACCCTGCGTTTCCGCCAGATGAGCAGTTCAAGATCTACAAGGTCTTCAAAAGAACCAGGTGTTGAAGGCAGGGGATGACTTAAGCTCGCTGTAGCCTCTTTGTTGTATATTGTATTGTCCCTCAACCAAGTTGTGGTTGCAGGCAGTGAGCTCACACGTGGTGGCACTGCTATCAGGGGTGGGGGCCGAGTGACTTCAGACCGGAAAGAAGGCCATCTCTGACATGGTTGACAGTTATGGCAAAATCCTCAAAACAGGGAAGGGTGTTGATGAGAAGAATAAGAACACAAAGCCCAAGAATCCTGAAGAAGAAGCAAGGGCTAAAGCCAAAAAAGATCTGCAAAAAGACATCAAACAGTTTCTTGCACGTATTTCAATTGGCTGCCACCTAACTTTTTGGTTTTCCTCCCAACCCCCAACTTTATTTTGGTCTTCGCCCCAGCTCCAATTGCCCGGCGCTCCGGCCAAGGCTGAAGGACAAATCCAACAAAGCCAGGGAGCTGGCAATGGATCTCCAAACGCTGGGAATCCCGCATCAAGAGGCACCATCTATTCAAACACTGCAATTTAGTAATGTTGAGATGAAAACCAAATGCATTTCGCTAGGCGATGCAGGAACAACTTCAAGAAGACCACACCTACCTCCGCCAAATTTCCCAGAGGTGCTTCTTACCTGCTTACAGAATGTTTTGAGGGGGGGTTGAGGGGGTCTCAATGCTACGTCCTTACAGGTTGGAGGACTTATAGTCTCGGACGGACAGTAGGCAGGGAATTTTCTGCCTACAGGGGGGTTATTTTTGGCCAATTTCGCCAAATTTCATTTTTGCCGTCGGTGAGGTTCTTGTGGACAGGGACTGCAGTAAGCAGGTTGGCAAAAATTTGGGGAATAAAATGTTTGAACTCAAATTTGTGAATAAAATGTTTTGTTTACGCGTATTTCCTTTTCTTTTTGCTTTCCTTTCCCTTCCCTTTCTTTGCTTTGACGTGAAAGATCCCAATTTGCATTGCTTTCACCTGTATATATATATATATGTACACAGTATAGGTCCCCATGCTTTTGTCATTTGTTCTATTATCCTTTCCTGATCCCTTTTACCTGTCCCTTTTCTTGTCCCCGCTTCCCCCTGTCCTTGCCTCTGTTGTTTTTTTCCTTCCCTCCTTCAGTCCTTCTTGTTCCTTTCCTTTTCCATCTCCCTGTCCCCCAATTCCATCTGAAAACAATTCTCCAAATAATAGTGCCTGCAGTAAGCAGACCTAGATTCTGCTTACTGCAATCGTTCTTTTGCCTTGAATGCCTTTTTTTGCTGCCTTCCTTCCTTCGTCCCCCACTTAGCCTTTGAAAGCAATTCTCCAAATAGCAGGACCTGCAGTAAGCAGCCCTGGGCTCTGCTTACTGCAATCACTCTTTGCCTTCCTTGCCTGCTCCTTTCCCTGTCATTTCTTGTCCTTTCCCGTTTTTGTATTGCTCTCAACTTACTTTCCCTATCCCTCTTTCTTCCCGTCCTTTCAAGTGAAATCTGATTAGCATATGGCAGGAATAGCGTGTGAGAAACAGAGTTCGCAGTTTGCATCACACGTTGTGCAAGCAGAGTTGTGATTTTCAATCATAGCTGTGACTGTGCTGTGATTTGCAGAGGCAATGGAGGATTTTCAATTTCAACGGCAGAGCCAAACTGAAAACAAGGTGCAGTAAGCAGACCGTACGTTTCTGCTTACTGCAGTTTGCTTTGTTGCTCGGTGACCTTTTTCATCTTTTCTTTCAGCCCTGGCGGATGCAGGAGAAGCAGTCTTAATACCCATGCTTGACCAGAGCCACTCAGAGATTTTCAATAGGTGTTTATAAAGTTCATGAATCCATTTACATACATCTATGGCAACATATATGCACCTCCACAGCAGGGCAACACACGCAGGGCACGTTCCAAACTTTGAGCTGGAACCTTGCAGGGTGGCTAGCGCTTAGCATGTCGGACCCTTCTGATGTGCTTGTGAAACAATCCGCGTGGGCAGCTGCAGCGCTGAACACCCACCATGTTTGGGGGAAACATGGAGAAGCTGCGTCATTACTTTGGTCTCAAAAGACTATAGGGACAGGATCTATGTTTTCAGGCATTGGCTGCGCTGAACGTGCTCTTGCGAGCATCAATGCAGCCAGGAAACCTCTTTGTGAAGGCAAAATCCTCTCTGCCGCTTAGTCTTGGACATGATAAGTTTTGAAAGCGGCGCCAAAAAAGGCTTTTTCAATCCCCGTGTATAGTGAGTTCTGGGGAGCCGGAGATGGCTCTGGTTGTGTGTATATCCTAGGAGCCATTGTGGACGGTGGAGTGCGATGGGAAAGCACGCGCTGCCCAGAATGACATCATCCCGGAGACAACATGTAAGTTCTTGGATATTCGACACTTTATTGCCAGAGCTTCGTTGGATGAGATGGATTCAGTCAAGGTCAGCGCTGCTGGCAAACGCTTTAAGAAGTGGACTGCAATAGCCAAGGGAGCGGGCGTGTGTAAGGATGCATTCTGCTCCCAACACATGAAACAGCGACTCTTCTATACATCCAAGACTGTTGCACTTTCCTCCAAGAGATGCCTCTTTTTATCTGGTTATGTAGATAAGCTAAATAATGTGCATATATATATATACATATATCGCTCTTGGCCCATACTGCTGTCCAGGTGTCCTATCAGACGTCCATTTCTCGACCTGAGCGGGTCTATGTGCACAGCCTGGTCAACAATGGGTAGTGGAGGGAAGGAAGAAGACGCCAATTCGATTCTCCTACTGATATGGATGCGCTACCATTTTGCCAATGGTACTGCAATCTTGGTCCATGAGAATGTTTCCAGCTTCAGCACTTGTATTGTTGCAGACGAGGCCTGCGCTGCTGGCTACAAGCACGTGCAAATTAAGACCAACCCCTCTGATGTTGGAGTTCTTCTTGGGAGGCAAAGGAAGCAGCTTGGCAGTTCAAGGGAAACTTGCAGAACTGCAGTAAGCAAATGACCTGCTTCCTGGGGGGGTGGAAAAAACGTTCCACGAAGGTTGCTATTATACTAGTGGGCCTGCAGTAAGCAGATTCACAATCTGCTTACTGGGGATGCCCCTTCAGGAGTTTCCCTTCGCAACTTTTTGTGCATTTCTGTATTGTCATGTGTTTTCAATTCTCTTCCACTGAGGTTTGACATCTTCTTCCGTTTGAACATCCTGAAGCAAACTGGTGACATGGAGAACACCTACAATGCTTTGGTGGCCTTCTTGCGTGAACAGCTTCCACAAGTCTCTGCGGCTGACATGTTCTTTGAAAAGGACTTGAATGCTTTGAGACTGGAGATGACACGGGCGGCCAACACGAAAGCCACAGGAGACAGGGTTCCAGGTTGAGGAAACTGCAGTTAGCAGAAACTTAATCTGCTTACTGGGGGGGTATATGTGGGTTTGCCTTGAGCTCCTAATTGGCTCAAAGTTTTTTCAGCTGCGCACTGTGCACACATATATATATATATACATACCTCTTTCATACACTTTCACAGTCACTCGTGACCACAATGGAAAGAAGTTTGGAAGAAATGTGGTGGGACCGGACCCCTTTGCGAGAAGAAGAAAGAACACAACCTGATAAAAAAAAAGGACCTTGAAATTGACAAAAATATGGAAAAGGTATCTGAGGCAGCAGGTCCACCTTCGCCCAAAAAAAATTATGGTTGATCACAAAAAGCAGACAATTGAAGCCCATGAAAAGGAATTTGACAAGGAACACTTACCGCCTGAAGCATTCACACCAGGGAGAGTAGATTTGCAACCTTCCAGAATTCTGCACCCTGTGGAAAAAGCAAGGGCCTGGCAGCGGCAAGCCCCACCCAAAAGACCACGCGCACCAGGCCCACTTTAGCCTTCTTGATGTTTCATCAACAACCATATTATTCTATACATATTATGCATATATATATATATGTGTGTCCACGCACACAAAGACATGTGATCACAATCAGGCGGGCGCCTTTACTTTTGTTTACATATGCAGTTTCAAGAACATATTTCCTGATTCAAGACTGACAAGCCTCCTGCGGACTTCTTGGTTCAGAGACATCGCAAGCAGATACCTCTATCATTCTCTTTCAAGTCACCAACTCAGTATGACCATGATCTTTGAAGCCATGGTACTGGGTGCATGCTTAGCGTTGCTGATTTCCAACTGCAGCAAGCTGCGGGTGGCAAAAGCCATCATTTGGTGCTTGAATGAAGAGGAGAAGCAGTCCGTTCTGACTTACATTCAGGGTCAAATTTGCAAGGAGCAGTTGTCAAATATGTCCAACTGGTCTATGGTTTCAGGCCAACCTGGCAGTGGCAGTCCGGGTGGCAGTCTGGCTCCGTCTTCCCCCCTTTCTGCATCTGGATCCCCAGGCTTTGCAAAGCAGAATTGCAAGCACCTGCGAGTGACGAAGCGCGGGTCCAATCATTTCCAGTCACGTCTACGATGCAAGGATTGCGGAGAGCTGATCGCAGTCTCCAAGTCCAAAGGCAGCAAAGCGAAGCCTTGAAGTCATCCAGGCCATTGAATGTGTAGAGCGGCTCTCCAATGGGGCTTTTGTGTATTGTTGATGCCAAAGATCAAAAGGATCTAGTACATTATAGCAGCCAGCAACCCAGCAGCTACAAGAAAAAGGTACTGCAGTTGGCAGATGGGAAACACCTGCTTACTGGGGGTGCCTCACAGGGAAAAAAAACTGTTCTGAGATTCTGAGATATTGCACAACCCAGCACTGTACAAAGAAAGACTCTGCAGTTAACAGAAGGGTTGGACCTGCTTACAGGGACCCCCTGACAGATTCCTAGAAGCGGTATAGATTCACCATGGATAAAAGTATATTCTGGAGGAGATGCAAGCGCCTGCTCTATGGAAGATTGGCGGCCTCTCCTGTCTGAGAGCGAGCAAGAGAACTTGGAGAAGTATGAAGAGATGCCACTTGCAGATATCTATGGTTTGTCATCTATCTTTTTCACAAACACCTTCACAAAACTGCTTTTCGCTAGGGCTGGTAGGGTATGTATCTTTACATTGAAAGACAATTTGTGATCACGCGCGGGTCAAGAGTAAGGTTCAAGACCAAATATGGAACGCCCAATGAGTTCGAGCCAGTCTTTAATTTGGCCCAGTCAGCAGAGAAATGGAAAACCATGACCGCCAATGATGGAAGCATTCCTTGCTTTACGAAGTCATCTTCCTCAAGACTGTTCAACGGCAGATTGAAAAGGTGGCTGACGGCAAGGGAGAAAGCCTGTATTTCTGGCTTGTGCGTGTGCCCCAAGCAGGCCGAGGCTGCTGGCCTTTCCAACCACATTGCTTGGGAAAAAGATCTCCAGTGGCACATGCGGGTTGGGAATGCCCAACAGATCCAGAATGTTGGATGTGTCCTGCTCTCTGTTTTGTCCTGCCTGGCATTGAGGGAGGAAGCTCCATCTTGCATTTTGGACTTTGGCCCGCCATCCCTACCAGAGGGCATCAAGCACCTGGACGACGGTACCATTTTACTGACCATCGCTGGGAAGGCGTGCAAGGTGAAGGACAAGGAACTTGGCGCAAAGGCGCACAAGGATCTACATGTGCCTTGGACCAAGATTTCCGTTTGTCTTGCATTTTGGTTTTAGCTCCTTCAAACAGTGGCCCTAAAGGGAGAGCAGCAAGCAGATGTGCAGATCTGCTTACTGCACCGTGTGTCCTTAAGGCAGGAAAGATCTCCGCATGAAACTAATACTAAGTACTAAATACATACATATATATAGTACATGATTCTCTTGCACGTGCTCAATAAGCAGACCTGCACATCTGCTTACTGCACCTTGTCTCCAGGAAAAGAAATTGGCCATCCAGACCTACACCATTGACAAGATGAAGGGAGAGCTGATCGAGGCTGGAGGTGATGCAGGCCAGTTCAACAAGGCAAAAGGGAAGGAGAACAAGAAGGATGCTTTTATGAGAGAGTGGTTCAGGGTGAAGGTTCTCCCAGAACTCGAAGCTGGTGGGAATCTGGATCCATTGCCAAAGAAAGAAGCCGCTAAAGCCGTTCCAAAAGCCAAAGTTGCTTCCAAATCAGCTGCCTTGCCTGATTCAACAGAACCCGGCGTGGGCCTCAAAGCAGATATTTTGCCAGGAGAGGTGGATGAAACTCCAGCCTTGTTGAGCAAGATCTTGCTGCTTCAAGATGAGTGGCTGCAAAAAGTGCTTGATGGCACTAAAGTCCTAGAGTTGAGAAAGGCCAGATTGACGTGCAAGGGGTCAGAAACCATGTACCTTGCGGCGGGGTCCACCATCTACGGTCGCTGCAGCATTACTCCATTGGTGACATTCACTGACACGGTGCAGTTTGCCAAGCTGAAAGACAAGCATTGTTGGGATCAGGATGACCCCCCCTTTTCCCTTCATTGGCCACGTGCTGTCGCAAGTGCAGAGAGTCAAGCCACTAGACTTTCTCAAACTCAAGGGCTGTCAGGGGAGGTGCTTGTTCAGACCAGTCGGGTGGAAATCTGAGGATGAGGAGTTGGCCAGCCAACAGGAGATAGAGCCAAGTGGCCCAGCCAGCAAGCCAGATGAAGGCTTGGAGGAAGCTAAAAGCGAGAAGAAAAAAGCCCAAAGGAAAGGGGCAGAAGAAGAACAAGTGCGACACGGAAGAGCCAAAAGAGCCAAAGACAAAGAAGCCAAAAAGCACCGACATCAAGCTTCTTCCAGCATCGGCGCTGGAAAAAGCAGAAGTTGTGCAGATTGACCACAAGAGCCACCTGCTCCCAAGCACAGATCGACTGAAGGCAAAGCGTGAAGTGCTGAAGAAAAAGACCGCCCACATAGATGTTCACATCAGTGGCGGAGCCTTGGCCCACGTGAACAATGTCGCCTTCAAGCGTGCCCCATCATTGACCGGTGCTTATTTGGCAGGCACAACAAATGGGAAATTTGTTGAGGTCAAGGCTGTGTGGGTACCATCTTGGGAATGTCACGGGTCTATGGAGCTTTGGGATCTGGCGTGCAACTCAGAGCTGGAGGAGTGGTTATCCGGGATCGAGATGGAAGTGGTGGGAGTTCTTCTAGTCGTCCCAGAGCTTGAAACACCAGAGGTGTCCCAGTTGCAAGTATTTGACAAGCTCTGGGCGAAAGATGACCCGTCCTTTCTTTTTTGGCTTGACAGGCAGCACAAAGCGCTCAACTCTGTACCGTTTGGAAGATGGAAGCCCCGAAGAACTTAACCTCCAAGTGCACTGGACTGGGAAGCAGTCACACTATATTGCCCACATAGTGTCTCAGACAGTTGCAGTGCTGGATGGGATTAAAGAGCATGCAAAAGCTTCTGTGGTACTGGGCGGCAAGCGAAAGGGACTTCCAAACAAAAGTGCCATGAAAGAGTTTTGGAATGCCAAGCGGAGAGCCATCCGACAGCAAGATGAACGGTCATCCTCCACTGGTGCTTTTTCTCAGAACATGAGAAATATATATAGTAGATGAGCTTCAAAATGTGGTGCACTTCATGACTGAAAGGATTGCCGACTTTACTCCAGGCAAGTGCCCAAACATTGCTACCGAATTTTCCAATCATTTGAATAGCTTCCCGCTGGCCAAGTCAGAAATAGCCAAAGTGAAGTCCATCAAGAATGCACCAGAGGATGTGGCAGAAGCTGGACAATACCTTGCAGCGGTGATGTCCTTGAAAGGTGCTTTGGAACTCCGCTTGGCAAGAAGGGCTTGCAACACTTCTCACACATACGATGGCCAGAAATGGCTACCAAAGCGGTCAGGATCCGCTTCCATGTCATCATCCAGCAAGCGGTCACGGGCAAGCAGCAAAGACACTTGCATGGCAGAATCATCGTACCAGGCGACACCTACCAAGGAGGACAGCCAACGATAAAATAGATCTGGTTTGTGTTTTTTATATACTGCAGTAGGCACGCCGTAAAGTTCTGCTTACTGCAGCCCCCCATGTTGTTGGATTGCCTGGCACCTCTATATAGTGCAATGAGAAGAAGAACTCCTCGCAACACAGTCAGGATCAACAGGAAGCGCCGCCGCCCATGAACCAGGACTCGGAGAATGCAAAGGCCTGGAAAATTCAAAAATGGAAAACCAGTATTGGTTGTGGGGGGGAGCGACCCAATAAACAGAAGTAGGATACGCTTGCTGCAGTT